ATGCGGTGTATCGACAACGTGTTTAAAATTTTTTATTTTACAGATAGTTTATTTTGTATTTTACGTATTTTTCTTATGCGATCTGTAGTAATATATGTGTATATAACACAATGCGGCACAATCCATCAGTCTATAATAGCAACGGATTCAAATACAATGTATGAATCGCCAAGTACATGTTCAATCCCTTTCTTATCCATTTGTAATAGGTATATTTATTAAAATTTTGATTTTAAGTATACCTAAGGACATACTATCCTTTCATATAGTTGAATTTTTTATGTGATTTAACTAGTAATGTCCGGTAATAATATAAACCTTTTTTTTTTTTTTAATGAAAACCATCATTGTTCTGTCTATATTAATCACGAAATAGTTAAGTACTTTTTTGAAAAGTATTGATACAATAAAATTAAAATTTTAACGAATAATTTCTAAATCATAAAATGTTATGCATTATTAAGATAATAGTCCTTAATAACGGTTGTTCATAAAATATAAAATAGATGTAACGATAATTTTATTAATTACTTAATATACTTGGACGATTTTACAAATTACAAAATTTCTGTATAGTAATATGATAAAGCACTTAGAACCTTAGAATTGATTAAACGTTACTGATGGGATTCCTCAGATATTAACTGTTAAAATTTTTTATACTTTGCATTAGTCTATTCGTTATTATTCAGATACAATTAGTAAACAAAGTATTGAAAATTTACAGAATATTCCTCCGTATGATGACTTAAAAAATTAAATATGTAAAATTGTTGAAGTGGTTATTATATATTGAATTGAGTTGTTAGTAAGTCGGCGCATAATAGGCTGATGTAAGATTTATATAATAATGTAACCTTTTAAACGGAATGGTTGAATGTCCGGATTTATTAAAAAACAATTAAGTGGAAAGTCCCGTAGTGCGTATTAATGGCTAATGCCAGTCTATGTTACCTCCCGTCAGACCTTAAACACGAAATTATTTACCTACAAAATAGTTCTGTATAATACATATTCTATAAATCGTATGTCGAAAAGTTAAAAACTTCTATTTTTGAAATAATCTTTTCATTACATACTAAGTCTTAGTGATAATCGATAAAATAATATCTTAATATATTGCATTATTTTTTAATTCAAAATTATATAATTTAATTGATTTGAATAATTTTAAACTGTAAATTATCGATTCTATTCGGCTAAGTGTTTATAATACATTAATAGATAGTAAAATTATATTATTAGCTATAATTTTCAAATCATTATAGCCCCAAATGTATTAAGCCAATTATTATGTGCTATTACTACTTACCAATATTACCAATAGGCTTTTGTACATACATTTTAATAATTTGATAACTATAAACTTTCAAATTTCAATTCAGATATGTACACCAATAATTTCATAAAAATCGTCTGCAGCCTATTTTTTTTTTATTTCATTTGAAAACCAGAAGTTTGTATCGCCGCAAAGCGCTATTTGAGTAATATAGATAATATAAATATTTAAAAGAATGGTCATACTTTTTGAGTATACTTGGAAATTTCAAAAATATCATAAAATACACAGACATTTTGTAAGGACATGCTCATAAACGAAACCGCTTGTATACGTTTCAAAACGTTTGTGTACATTTTTTTAAACGCCCGAGACCGTATACAGCTACGCGGCGTTCAATTTGGCGTTGCGACATAACCAATAACGGTTGCATTGTTATACATTTTATTATATTGACCGGATCAAAACCTGCGACAGTTGCTCAACGAAAGTCACCGTTGCCACCACAGGTATACCCGCAGACATATAGATATACCATACCTATGTGTTATACTGCAGTTTGTAACGTGATAAAAAATCATATTGTGTTTGGATAACAACAATGCACGGTAATACGTATATTATTATATATACATATAAGCCACACGCTGCGCGGTGTGTGTGTACAAGAACGTTCCGTTTGACATAAAAATTACATATACCTAACATATTATTATTATATTATATTACACACGCGAGCCTACTGTCTAGGTCAACCGGTATACGTATTACGGGTGTAACGTATAGGTATACAGTATTATAATACACTAACCAATGTTATACATAATATTACATACATTAGCCGGTGTCCAAAAAACAACCTGAGTGTAGGTACCTAAATAGTGAATACACCTGTATACGTGAATGTTTGTATAGGTATTACGCGAGTAAAATTGCATCGTCTGTTATATATATAATTAATAGTGGTATATACTAAAAAATTATAATATATCTATTACTTATATACTTGTATAGTTAAATTGTATATGTGGTGCGTTCGTAACAGGCGAGTACCGCAGCAGGCCGTAACCGTTTTCATCAAAAACGTTTTTTTACGTATTAACGTAATGCAAACAGATCAATTATAATTGCAGTGCAACACTACGACTAGGTATTGGTATTCATTTACGTTTTTAAAATATATTGTTTCCTTTTTTTTTTTTTTTTTTAAATCAAACCGTATTTTTACTTAATGTTTACTTTTCAGTTATATGTAACATTTAATGCATTTTCCTAGGTAGGTATGGGCATACATTATAGTTGGCTAATTATTAGGTGAACTTAAAAAACTTAAAATGTGATGATATCATAGATTGTAGGTTTATTATTTTATTTATGAATATTAAACACTCATATTATAATGTTTAGTAAAATAATATATTATACAGTTAAATAATTAATTAAAGTACCTATAGCATTAACTCCAAGAATAATCGATAATACAAACAGTATAATTGTTAACTAATTTTAAAAGGTTTAAATTTAATCATTTTTGACCCAATCGAAAAATGCAACATATCTTATAAGTTATAATAATTAAACATGTAAGAAAAACTCACTCTGCGAGGAGCGTTCTAAATGTATTTTAATACAACGTAGTTAACTGCAGTTCCATTTACAATTTACGGATATACCTATAAGGTGTTCTAAACTTAAATATTTTTAAAAACCTAAACATTTATGTCTGATTTCATTGTTACCGCATTATTACAATATTAATTATATGTGAAATAAATTGTGTAAAATTTAAAACAAATAAACATCGTCTGCACGCGGACTTAAATTTTGGCAACAATGACAATTGACAACGGTGTTGTCATCGTACTATATATTATTATAATTTATAATACCTACCCAACTAATAACTATGGTACACTATTAAACTGTATAGTCATACACAAAGACCTATTTCTGATATCAGTGATGCGGATTACGTAATCGTTGAAATCTTTGTGTTCAGCTCGGTCGATGATGAGAATATTGTTAGGGTAAAGGCCGTGTACATTATTATTATTTGCGTACATCCGGTGGATTTTTTTCGCACGACGATATTTCACGAGTAGATCATTCGTTTTGGTTTGGTTTTTACGCTTAACATTGCCATAGACATTACTTTTATGTATACCAATCGGCAGTTCGGTATAATGCGCAGGCACCTATAACGATAACGCGTATAATACTGCACAATGACCTTACAGGTATTATAATAAATAATAATCGTCCAATCGTGGTAAAATATTATACCGCCACTCCGCGATTATATTATACTAAAATATTGTATATATTATTCTATAATACATTAATCTCTAATAGTGAAAGTCGATGTTCCGCTTCTGTTTCAGTATAGGCAATACGTGTATATCTATAGGCGTATAGGCTTCCAGGCCACTGCTGCTAAGGAACTCCGGACTGTTGACTGTTGATACACGTCGTATAACCGCACTCGCGCGACGACGAATCCTATACTTATACGCGTATATTCGTATTCGTCATGTTCGCACTGCAACCTACGCTGATTTATAGTGACCTTTCACGACTTGATGACTCCGGTCGACACGTCATAACGCTACGGAGTTTGAATTTAATTTCACCGACTGCTGCACCGCTGCCTGTCGTATATATTATGATATATATGTACATTATATATTATCATATTATTCGCACACTGTTATGTATATTGCAAAATTATATCGTAATAATAGACTTGTAATTATATAGGTCTATGGTCTCGTAATACACGACATTGCCATCTGCAGCAGATGATCGAAACAAAAATTATAATAATTTATACCTAATTACGATTAAAATGTCATGTGCGCATATCAAAGTCGTATAAATTCAAGTACCTGATGACTGTCCCACGGTTCCACATCGTGAATGTGATACTATAAACATATTATATGCAGATAGTTATAGGCGTAAAAGGCAAAATCGTCCTTAGGATTTGCGAGGTCCGCTTCAAAAATAATAAAATTGTGAAACATGATAAAAATGAATGTTTTCAATTCTTATTATACCTAATACTTTTTTTTCTGATCTTATCAACTAATTAAAAATTATTGAACTTTAGAAAAATTGTCCAACTTTCAGTAGAAGCAGAAAAAAATTGTAGTCTTTGAATTATATTAATAAAGTCAAAACAGTCTGTATGGCATCATCGGACATGGAAACAATATCTCCAAGAAGCCTATAAGGGTATAAGCTGTGCATTGTTAAAAAAAAGTTTTAGGGTTTTCTAAAAGTAAAACTTAAATACTCCAGAATTTCGTCCTATACCATATTGATTTCATTTTTCCAAACGCGGAATAGTGTACTTCGGGTTTTTCAGGTTACATGAATTAAGTCCAGTAGATTTTTTTGAGATACACGAGTTTTGTTCTGACGAAAAAAAAATAAGTTTATAAAAGTCGTGTACTTATATATTCGTATATTACGAAGATAGGAATTGTACACATATTTATACAAGAATTTATATGTCGTTTAGTCATATTTATAACTAATAAGTAATAATACAAAAAAAATTCCGTATCGGACAAAAATTTAAATGAAACTATTTTTAAAAATTAACTTTTCTAACTGTTTTATTATTTAATTATGTAATATGTGTTTAAACAATGTTGTAATGAATAATAATTATCACTTTTATATGCGCATACTAATATCTTATAATATATAATTACAGAATCGTATAACAATGCACGTCTGAAGAGAGTAAGCCCAGAAAATACTGCTGTGAGTATATTATAAATTACATTTTATATAACAAACTAAACAGTTAATGGACGATTTAATCTTGATTCGCGGGATGCATTGCCAATGTATGAAATTTTTTTTTAATGTGCATAATTTTATGTATATAAATTGTATTGGTAAGTGGTAACCATAATAAGTACCCGTGTATTTATTCATTAATAAAAAATAATATTTATATATAATATATATATATATATATATATATATATATATATATGAGATGATAATAATAATAATAATAATAATAATAATAAATTGAAAAATCTTATACATTGAAAACGTAAAAACCGTTATGATCAAAAAAGTAGTGTAAAACTAAGGGACTTGACAACTATATTTAATTAAAATAACAAAAAAAAAAACAAACACTTATAATATTTGTTTTTCTTTTCGAAAACTCACTCGTGGGAATTGGATTAGTACGACAAAAATCTGCATAGTGATCCGATGACGTCTGTAATATTATAGGTTTAAATTATAATGCGAATTTAATAGCCAATAACAAATTATTATATTATGTTTAAAAGGTGTACGGTTTCCGTGCGCAGGACCGGAGGGACTCGTCCGCGGACAGCCAACAGTTCTTGCCGGCGTTCGGGCCGCTGTTCAGCCAACTCGGCCACCACGCCCGGCCGCCCAGACTGTACCAGGAGGCTGACTATCTGCCCGAGCTGACGCCGTACCTTCAGACGGCCGCGGCGTCCAACCACGAGAGCGCCATGCTAGGTTCCGGCAACTTTGGCGTCATACCGGGCGGCACGTATTACGCGGCCGGCGAGACAGCTTCCGCTTCCGATCCGTACTTGTACGACGGCAACAGCCACGGACGACCGCACCGGTACGTTCAGAGGCACCGAATAAATGCCAATAGGTATATAATATGCCTGAAATCAACTTTCGTCGTAGTCGTCTAGTTTTTATCGGTTTTCTTGGAAAGTTGTGTCTTATGCCTTTAATAATTAAATCTTGTACTTACCTAAGACATCGAAAAATTAAGAGCTAACGAGTGACAAGAGAGTGTAGATATTTAAGTGCTCTAAGTCACAATTGTTTTCAAATAATATTGATATAATTATTGTACAGGCAGGCATTTTTGTTAAGATCTATTAAGGTTATTTCAATCATACACCGTTTTTAACTCTGTTATTGAACAATTATTTATAGATTTTCTGGAAATCCTAGACCATCAGCATTCCGTGATCCAGAAGACTTTTTTGCTGGGTTCCGAGACTTCGCAGATATCACAGCTCCTACCAAATCATCGTTTTCACAATACCATATGGTATATGCCCCAATGGAAGATTTACCGTCCAGCGAAGAAAAGGTTAAGTCGAAAAAAAAGAGGAAATTGAACAAACATTTAGAGAACGAAAATGATAAAACAATTAAAGCTAAAAGGAAAATGCATGCGGGTGAAAAAGAATTATACGAACCTATGATTGCACTAAGTTAGACAGTATTATACAAGAATGAGTTGTTAAGATGTTATTATTGTTATTATTATTTCGAAGTACAAAATATGGGGATTTCTTTTATTGACTATACAGTGATATAAAAATAAGAGCTCCGACTGGCAAAGTTCTTTGAACTCGATATTTTCATCACATCGTTTTGTCATTTAAAATGTTTTATTTAACAAATAGATCTATAAAAAAAAACATTGCTTCCCAATGTACTAATGTACTATACTATTACTATATTATGTTTAATATTATTATTACTTATAATAATAAAATAAATTATGAATTACGACGTGTTAATATTAGGTCATACTCAAATTAAAATAAGTATTATTTTTATATTTAGTTATTATTTTATTATTGTATAAAAGTACCAAATACCTAATTGTATACAGTTTTTTACTAATGTATAACTTTAATGAATTGTAAATATATATATTTTTAAATAAATGTTAAAAATTGATTTTTCACTAAACGCACAACTCAACTTTACCGAATTTCAAACATGGGAAAGCTGTACAACGACGAAATTACAGATAACAACGTAGCTTACGACTATGTTTCAGAGGAATTCAGACTATGATTTTCAGTATAGACATTGACTATCAACTATCAACCCGTAGTTAAAAGACGTCGCAAATACGTCATTCTATGACAATCGTTTTCACGAATCCGAATATTTCAGAAAATATCTCTACGAATTAGCCTACCTCAAAAATTAAAAATCTTTACATTTCACACGGTCGGTTTCAATAGATATTCTCTATAAATAAATTAGAATCACTTGTCGAAAACCACAAATTTGAGTTAACCAAAACTCTGAATCTTCCGACAGTTCCGACCGCTTGACGACGCAAAATATTTGGGATACGCGACTAATAACTATTCTTTCATCGTCCGATAGAACTCGACGACAATCCGTAAAAAATTTAATAAAAAATTAATATTCTCAAAAAGGGTGTCATTCTTAGCTTATATTATATATTATGTTGTTCTTAATAGCTATGAATATTTCATTACATTTTAGATTTTAAGTGGATTGATGAATGTATTAATTTTGCAAAAATATATTTTTTTATTTTTTGTTGTATCTATGAACACAGTAAAATGCACTGATTTTTAAAAAATAGAAATGGTTTCTGGTAGATATATGGATATTGTGTTGGTATTTTAGAGCGTAAAAAGTAAAAAATCCTAGTACTCTTTATTAAAACAAAAAAATAGGAATTTTCACAAATCTAGTTTTGATTTTTGTTTATTAGTAAAGTTGTAACTCGAAGACAAATTATTATTAATTTATTATAAATACTTGAAATTTTCTCTAATTGTTATAAATTATTGTTTATTATTTACATGAAACACTCTGAAATTTTTGAGTTATTTTTAAGCATGAGAAATTTTTATTTTTTTTTTTTACGAATGTAGACAAAAATTATTCGTTAGATAGAAATGCTTACAAATTTAATATTTAGTTCCTTATTAGTTCTTCATTTAAAAAATATTGAAAATCTATAATAACGATATTTTTTTACGAGTGTTTGAAGTTAAAATTTTGATAAAATTTGTTAAAATCTCAAAAATATACAAATTATTTTGTAGTTAGAGCTCATAAAAATTTTTATTTTTAGCCTATAAGGTTTTAAAATTATTAAAACTAAGAGTTCTTTATAAGTTTCTTAGCCTATATAAAAAAAAATTCTACTGGAAGCCAAAATTATTTTTTTATTAGGATTTGAAATTCAAATTGATACGACATTGGATATTAATTCGTAAAATAATAATTTTTCTTCAGAAAATTATTGATATTTTGTTGTATTTCAAAATAGTCGATACTTTGAATTTTTGCCAAATGTTTATATAAGAATTAAAATTTTTTTTTTCTTTTACTCTTTTTGAGCTATTTATAGGTATGATTTTTTAATTTTTTATGATAAATATTGATAAAAAACTATTCACTGAAGTAAAGTTTAATACAAGATTTATCAAAAGTTGTTTATACTTACTGGAACTATAACATCTAAAAAATATATGAAAACAATTATTTTTTTGTAGACATTTTAAGTTCAAATTAGGACGAAATTACTTATATAGGTATAAATATTTTAATGTTAATTATTTTGTTGTAATTTAAAAATATTATTGGCGAGAACCTAAGACTTTTATGTACATATATTGTTAGTAATTTTATTATACCTACGGAATGACATTTTTTATTTATTTTTAGATATTATCTATTTTGTTAAAACAAAGTAAAATGGTTAGGTTTTAAAAAGATTTTTATTTTTGGTTATAGTCTAAAAATATTTTACTAATAAATAAAATAAAATAATTTTTATTATTATGACAAAAACAAATAATTCTATATCCTAGTCTTTTTATGACTAAGAAAACTTCAAAATATACAATGTTCATTTATTTATGCCCTTAAATGATTTACTATTTATGATAGTGTACATTTAAAATGTTAAAAATAACTTCATTATAACGCTAATATTATGTTGTCTTTGTTTTACAATCATACAAAGTAATAAATATTTTTTTAATAAACCCAATATTTTTTTTGTTAGTTTTAATTTAAGTGATTTGTCCTATTATCAAACTTAAAGGTCATTATCTGTATTTATATATTTGTTATTTACAGTGTCTTGATTTTTAAATTAGTTATGAATTTGTGATTTACGAATGAAAAATATTAAAAATTGAAACATTGTAAAAAACTAACACACAATCATAAATTATTTTTATACATTTAAATTTTATGATAGGCCAATTCACTCTAATATAGCAATAATACAAAATTAGTTCTATTGATTCAAGACGGAGATAATATGTATATTGTACAGTATGCACTGAACAATTTTTTTGTCTTGGGATAAGCTATTATTTGACCATCCGTGCACTTGTAGTTTTTAATCTACATTTTTTTTAAACTTAATAGTATAAATATTATTATTAAGAACTTTTTATAGCACTGAATCTATTGCCCAGTACCCATTTACTAACTTACCTACCCGTTATTTTTGGACTTAAAACAATTGTCACAAACAAGTCTACTTCAGCATACTACTGTACATATGACATAATAAACACTTAATACAACTCTTAGTTAATTGATATATGAATAGTATATATACTTTTTTTTTTTTAAATTTAAACTTAAACAAAGTTCTGTGTTGTGGTATTGTACTTTTATAACATGCATGATAACAGTAAAATAGTAGTTACAATTATTTTAAAAATAATGTAAATAATATTTATATTAAGTGTTTGTTAATAAATTAATGAAAAACTAAATTCAAATTTACTTAAAGTTTTCATAAATTATTTTTATTTTTTGATAATTATCACAAATTAAATTTTTTTATAGAATATTGATCTTTTGACTTTTACAGTACCTATTCAATTACATTTAATATTGTTTTAAAAATTTTAATCAATTGAAAAAAATGAAAAAAAAATTATGTCCAAAACATAACAACCTCGATTTAGACTTTAAGAAGATTAAATAATTTATCTATTGATTTAACCCATGCGGGTAATTCGATAGTTGTAGACTGTAGTCGTAAGTTATTATCACTATAACGCGTCAACATCAACATTCTCGATTTCGTTGTTTCCTCTCCGATGGTTCATTATGTTTGTATTATCATTGTTATAAAATATACTGTTTATCAATGATATCACGTAGAAACACGCAACTGGCCGCGGCAGCCTCTCCCCCACTCGTTTAGTCGCAACTTGCAGACCCTTTTCCACAGCTGTTTCTCGGCGACGCACGCTGTTCGAGTCGTTCTTTCCGACCGTTACACACTTACACATACACTTTATGAGCGTGTGGCTAATAGTTCACTCGTCCGTCGATCAAATGAATTTTTCACGCGCGTCTGATCTCCGATAATGTCAATCATTGGTTATTGCCGTCATTGGTGTAATTTTGTACTGTTATTTTTCACTTATTGTAGTGGGATCGAATTGCGATCTTGCCACGACAAATGAAATACACTTGGCGATTTAATTTCATTCTATAGTCTACATCACGTACGAAATACGAATGCGTATAATAGTGACGACGAGCGTCGAAATTTTCACCTGATTAATATTATATTCTCTCGTTCAGAAATATAATACACGTATCCGGTATCAATAGTTATAATTTCTACATAAGATCGTCGCCCGAGATTTGACAACGGGTAAGTACTAATACACGTTTATCTATATTGACAAACAGTTTAACATTTGTATTGAGTATTTAGTAGAATAAATTAATATTGAATACCTATTATATGGACAAACAGTGTTCCGATTAGACGTATTTTAAATACTTATTTAAAGTCATGGGCGTTCTTGGGGAGGGGGGCAAGATGGGGCACTTGCCAGCTCCTTCCTAAAATTTTAAATTTGTTTCCTAATTGTTAATAATTTAATGTTATACTGATGAAACATAATAATGTTCTATAAATAAAATGTATAATTATAATACTTAATTGTAATAATGACAAAACATAATAATGTACTATAAATAAAATGTATAAAAAAAAAATCTTTATTTATTTTTTAAATTTATTTCCCCCTCCCCACAGAAAAATGTCTGGGGACGTCCATGTTTAAGGTATTTTTTTTTAAATACTCAAAATAAATAATAAATGATAATTAAATTCTTACGTATAGAGATTTAAATTTAAGTTTAACCTAATCAAGTTATAAAGTGTTGCCATTGGGTCATTACTTTTATCACGTACCTATATCAAGCTCTATATATTTCCGCATACCTATTTACTTAATGTAATAATAAGTTTTAAAGATTATACGTTTTAAAATAAAAGTTAAAAAGAAAATTCTTACGTTAAAATTTTGACCAGATTACAAAATAAAAATGAGCTATAGTTTTGTTACGGAATAGAAATATCCTATACTAGGTGTATAACCCTTGATTGCCGGATTATAATATAATTTAGAGAAAAATAACTGAATAATTACACAAAGTATATCTGTGATGAATATGAATAATAGATGTAAAAAATGAATAGTTATAATGTGACATCAATGTTTAAAATATTTATAGAATTAATATAAAATGGAAATTGATTGATTGAAAGTTTTCATAATACTTGTAAATGTTTAAATTTCAAATAGGTAATTTATTAAATTATTTATAGTTAACCAATTCTGAAGGCAACGACGCATCAATAGACTTAGTGGGGGTTATGAACACGCGTGTTTACACAGCAAGCAATCCGTCTTGGATTATCAAAA